TAAAGCATGATTGGAAATATTGCCATTTTTCATAGCTGTCACTTTAAGTATAAAAGCATCAGCACATTAAACTAGTTACTGCTTTTTCATAATTGAGACTTTAGCTTCTAGCTGTACCCTGCAGCTTTTCATTAATCACTGGGACTGAAGTTCAAGCTCAGTGACAGCTTAGAAGGCATTAAACGGGCAAACTATTTTCCAGGTACAGTTAGGAAAGGGCTTTTGGTCCTATAATCCATAGCTAATTGTTTTTCAAAGTCTCTAAACACAATCTACTCCTGGCGTTTCCTAGTGACAGAATTAGCTGCAAACGGGTTTTCTTTTTATCTTCCCAGGCTTTCTCTCACTAAAATCTATGGAGAGGCCTATTGTTAGCTGCATAAAACAGGTGCAGAATGGCTGTGATATGTAAAACTGTAACTGATACTTAACCAAGGAAACATTTATTAGATTGCCTCTGAAACAATACTTCCTGAATACTTATTCTAATCATACCATTTAATTTGTCATAAAAGAAACAAGATGGCATGAAACTTTGCACACAGGCAGTGTTCACTTTTCTAATGGAAAAAAAAAAAAAAAACAAAAACCAAAAAACGACCCCACTGGATCTTTTAACAAATGCAACCGAATCTTCTCCCAACATGAAGTGAGAATGCGGCTTCCCACATTTACACTTGAACTCCAAGATTCCCAGCATAAGCCCCTCTGTTGCTTTGGCTTGCCAATTTTTTTTTTTCCTTTTCTGCAAAGTGTTGTACATCAGGTTTTAATGGATGTGCCAAAACATTCTTTCTTTTGTATAACAAATTATCAAGAGCATTGAGGTTCATTAATTATGTCATCTAATTGGATTGAGGCAGGTGCAAAATACCTCAGATGAAGTGGTCACTGGCAGGAAGGCCTAAGTGCAAGTTTTTCTATTAGAAACCAGCATGTCTCCAGACTCTTGGAATTACTTTGTACTTATTGATTAATGGCCATAATTTATTACAGTGCAGAAGATCTTGCATTGAGTTAAATGTGTGATTAATCAATTTTCCATCAAATTATGAACAGCAGACCAGTTGCCAGAAAGAAAATACCAAGTGCATTTTCCCATGGTGTAAATATATCAGGACTTCAGCTAATAACTGTCTATCACTTGCTTAATATTCCCTGTCATGCTGATAAATGTCATCTCCACAAATGGGCCACAGGTAGTAATGATGGAAAGACCACCAAACATGTTTTATAGCTGCCCTTCTTATATAATGAAATACTCTTTGAATCCATCTCAAAACAATTTATTAATGCAAAATTCATTTCTGCCTTCAGCTTGAAATACATCATTGTTAGGTCAACAATATTATATTAAACTGATAACTGATATTGAAGCAAGAAAACCTTAGGCGAAAGAGAGATGAATTTTGGACTTCCTGTGCACAGGAACTCATTTTTATTTCCGTCAAAGATTCAGACATGTGACTAATTGTTGTCAATTCTAATCTGCTTTTAAAGCATACCGCACGTGTGCAGTGGGGCCGCCAAAGAGACCTGCTGATTGAAGAGAACGCATTTTGTTCCAAAGGTTAATTTCTGGCAAATAACAGGTAATGTGAGGGTTCACTACAGTGATTGTCTCTTTTGAGCAGGGGTGCTTTATCTTACAACTAAATTAGGTGGAGGCTACCTCCGAAAAAGTACACCGTGCATATCAAAGTAATGAGATAAAATAGCAGTACCCGAGTCAATCAAATTTGGGGAAAATGAACTTGGAATAAAACCTATAGAAATAAAAACTGATAAGATATGTAGAAACTTAACTGAGATAAATAAATGACAGTGATAAGCCACTGAGCCTTCCCAAGCCAGAAATAGTAGAGCAATACATAGAACAACTGTAAAGGAAGCTGCACCGATATTTGTCCACCAAAGAAGGGTCTTGAAAATGCTAGAGCAGGAGAATCCATATCATCATTCTTCCTCTTCCTGGAGCAGGGAGATAAATGAGTGGGGGCCACAAGGTTTGCTGTGTGGATCCTGGTTGGTGAGACACCAGCTCTCTCTTGGTGACTTTAATTGTGGGGCTTTTATATCAGAGCATGCACTCTTTCTGTACTAGGACATGAAAACTTGGCCAGACTCCCCGGTAGAAGTTCACTCAGTGGCATACTTAGAAGTTTCATCCTGACATTTTAGGCACTCTCTCTCAAAGTTGGATTCTACTATACGTTATCCGAGATTAGAATGTCTTTGTCTTAAGCCCTTCCCTAAATACAGTGCAACTTGCCCTATTTCCAGAAGACTGGTTCTATTCTAGTAGTCGCCAGACACCTGATGTCAAGCTTTGCAAACCACTTTCCCCATCGTCACAGACTCTCGAGCTGAGTAGACCATGATGTCCCCAAACCCATTCTTCTCCAAAAGTAGTCACATCCTCTTATTAAATTTAGTTTCCCTAGCTTCTAGACTACATGTGCAAATAGAATAAGAACTAGAGGGTATATCGAAAAGCTCTTTCCAGCCCCGTTCCCATTTACTGTATGATTTGGCACACATCGTCTTGGAAATAGTTCTCCAGCCATTCTTTTAATGCCATGCAAGGGATTTATTTTTGCTGGCTCTTTATTCCCCATTACCCCCTCCTGTGTTGTATAGAATCTTTAAGTATGTCTGTGTTAGATGTTTCATGCTATGTGTTAAAATTCTGTAATTCCTCAAGCTCAAATCTCAATCATTTTAACACCTATTAAATCTCTCCAGCTAGAAGGGATCAAGCTTCTCCTTGGAATAAAGGGGGATTAGGGCTTTCCACGTGCCTAGCAAAAGTGTGTATTACACAGATCTTTTCTTAGTCCCATGGAATGTTCAAGTTGAATCTTATTCTGACACCTTTCTTAATATTTTTCTTTGGTCACACTATACTTAAGGTAGACCTCAAATGTGCCACAGAAGAGGAAGTTTTTGATTTAAGGGAGGTGAAATGGCATAAAGGAACACATGGCCTTAGTAAAAGAATTGGAGCCTCTGTGCATTGCTGATGGGAATGTCAAATGGTGCAGCTACTATGGAAAAATTGTATGGGGCTCCCCCCAAAATTGAACACAGAATTAACATATGATCCAGAAATTCCACTTCTGGGTATAGGCCCAAAATAATTGGAAGTAGAGATTCAGATATTTGAACACCCATGTTTATGGTAGCATGCTTCACAATCGCCAAAAAGTGAAAACAATCCACATGTTCATTGACAGATGAACAGGTAAACAAAATGTGCTTCACATATATAGTGGACTATTATTCAACCTTAAAAGGGAAGGAAATTCTGATGCATGATTGGACCTTAAAACCATGTGACATAAGTGAAATAAACTAGTCACAAAAGGATAAAAATGGTACGATTCTACTTATATGAGGTTCCTAGAGAAATCAAATTCAAGAGACAGAAAGTGAAATGGTGATTGCCAGGGGTTAAGGGAGGAGAAAATGGGGAGTTATTGTTTAATGGGTACAGAATTTCAGTTTCCCTAGATGAAGAGTTCTGGTGATGACAGCGGCACAGCAACATGAATGTACTAAATGTCCCTGGAAGGTACACTTGAAATGGCTAAAATAGTAAATTTCATGTTGTGTAAATTTTAGCATAATTTTATTTTTATTTATTTATTTTTAATTTTTTTAACGTTTATTCATTTTTGAGACAGAGAGAGACAGGGCATGAACGGGGGAAGGTCAGAGAGAGAAAGACACAGAATCGGAAGCAGGCTCCAGGCTCCGAGCCATCAGCCCAGAGCCCGACACGGGGCTCAAATTCACGGACCGCGAGATCGTGACCTGAGTCGAAGTCGGACGCTTAACCGGCTGAGCCACCCAGGCGCCCCTAGCATAATTTAAAAAAAAAGAAAAAGAACACATGACTATAAAAAGACAGGAGCAAGTAAGAAAAGGGAGAACAGGTCAGAGGTGGCCTTGCTACTTTGGGCTTGAACCCTCCCACAAATATGGTACAGACACTAGAAAGGTATGGTCGGTCCCTTTCGTAACAGTGCAAAATACAACTGATCTATATGAAGAGAGAGTTGGCAAGTTCAATTCTGTTATGTATCATTTTTTAGTACAATTTTGCTGCTCAACATAGCCAAGAGGTAAAAGAGTAACTGCGATTGGCAGGCCCCAAGGGGCAAGCAGTGTGTAAACCTGGAACCTTTCATTCCTGTGTCCCGTGATTCTTTAGTGGCTTCAGGTTTGGAATGCAGTTCACAGGTTTGAATATATGGCTACTGCTGTCATAGCAATGGAAAGACTGCATACCCCAGAGGGGCAATCGTTACTTATGTTATGGACTGAATGTCTATGTCCCTCCCCCCAACTAATATTTTGAAAACCTACCCCACAATGTGATTGTATTAGGAGATGGGCATTTGGGAGATAATTAGAATTACGTGAGGTCATAAAGGTAGAGCCATCATGAATAGGATTAGTGAAGCCCTCATGACTGAGACTCCTTAAGGGAGTCACAAGAAAGCTTGCTCTCCACCCCGGCCCCCCCCCCCCCGCCTTTCTGCCATAGGAGGACACAATAAGAAGGTGGCAGCCTAGGGGCACCTGGGTGGCTCAGTCAGTTAAGCATCCTACTCTTGATGTCGGGTCAGGTCATGATCTCAAAGTCCATGAGTTTGAGCCCTGCATTGTGCTCTGCACTGACAGTGTGGAGCCTGCTTGGGATTCTCTCTCCCTCCCTCTCTCTAACCTATCCCTACTCTCCTGCTCGCTCTCAAAATAAAGAAATAAACTTTAAAAAAGAAGGTGGCAGCCTATGAAGCAAGAAGCGGCTCCCACCACACACTAAATGTGTTGGCGCTTTGATCTAGAACTTTCCATTCTCCAGGACTGAGAAATAATTTTTGTTCATAAGCAACCCAGTCTATAATATTTTGTTATACCAGCCTGAATAGACAACTTGCCTACAGATGATTGTGGTAGTGTTGGAACAAAAGTTAAGGGTTGTCACCAGATCTTCCAATTTTTCAATGAAAACAAAAAATACAGACATTTAGAAGAAAACTTCCAATGTTTAAATATTGAGAAATAATATCAAAAGAATCCTCAGAAATATGCATGTTTTAGACCTTTGAATCATCAGTTTATCCCTTCTGCTTTAATGGATCAGGACAAATCCTACCAATGTATTGTTGTTGTTGTTGTTTTCTTCAATGTTTATTTATTTTTGAGAGAGAGAGAGAGACAGAGCACATCCACAAGTGGGGGAGGGGGAGAGAGAGGGGGACAGAGGATCTGAAGTTGGCCTCTCATGTTGACAGTATAGAGCATGGTGTGCGGCTCAATCTCATGAACCGCAAGACCATGACCTGAGCTGAAGTCAGTCACTTAACCGAATGAGCCACCCCAGTGCCCCTGTATTGTTTTTCTAAACTACACTGGTTAGAAGCTATCTCTCCCATCCCTCAACTCACAGATAGATTGTTTGTTATCTATCCATACACTTAAGAGATATCCTCTTTAATGTTCCTCTGTGTGTGTGGATGTGCGTGTGTACTTTTGACTAATCCAAGCTCCTTGAGTTACTCCTTGATTATTCATCCTCAAATATATCCATGAGGCTTAGTATAGTATCTTATACCCATTATCTGCTAAATAAACACTTGCTACAAGTATGAATGTATGAATCAATGAATACAACCTGAGGGGAGTGATGACCTCAAATAACAGCCTGCATTATACTAGAATACATTTCCAAAGTCTAAATTAATTTGCAATATTTTCTTTTTCAATTTGTAAATGTATTTATACACAAAGTTCACATCATGTTTTATCGTAGCTCCCTCTTCCATGTACTAAGTGCTAAGGTACACTAATTACTTATTTCAATCCTAGTTAACTGTTCATTAAGTGCCCCAAATTCTACAGACTAACTTAATCCTCGTACAAATCCTATGATGCACGTAGTATAATGGCCCCTGATTTCCAAATGAAGATACTAAGAGGAAAGCAACTTGCCTGAGCTCACACAGTGGGTGACAGGGCCAGGATGACAGGGCCAGCCCTGGATCCTGGGCAGCAGCGTCCTCACCACACCATGCTGTCTCCATTAAGAAATGCCTGGAAGGAAACTGGACTGGCACCGCCGCTGGGCCTGGAATGAAAGCAGGGGAAGGAGGATAAAGACTTCAGTGGCTACTATTCTTTACCGCTGCTTCCACACTTGAAAATGTTGTTTTTGCTTTCAGCTTTTGTTTTCATGTTTTATTCCTTCCATTCTTTTGTAATAAAAGATATGCAATTGCCTTTGTCAAATCATGCTTGAATTGAAGCCATACGTTGGTCACCAATACAAGACTTCGGCAAAAAATCAAGGCAAAGAATCAATTGGCTATACAAGGCATTTGCGATAGAGTGTTATGTATTTTATTATTATTTATAAATTGTATATAAATCCTTTATATCAGTAAAACCTACAGGAAACCTACAGGAAACCTACAGTAAAACCTACAGGAAACCTACCTATATATATAGATATATATATAGGTATATATATTATATCTCATACCTTTGGTCCCAGAGAACTAGTTGTTAAACACTTACTGAACACCACTATATTGGGGAAACTGCAGGCATATTTGAGATCTAGCTAAGGAGAAGCTGAGCTGGAGATACATTTACTTTGGCTTAGTGGGATATATTTATGAGGTCTGCAGTCACTCCATGTATAGCGAAGTTATTGTTAGCCATACACATTTAGGAAAGGCTTCTATAAATATTTCAACTCCTCACTGTGCCGACTTGCTCAGTACAATGACATAAAAGTGCAGGGGCCGGAGATTGTATTGTGATCCGAACATACCCTGTGGTGCCCAGTACAGGAAGTACGTGGGTTGTGGTCAAGAAACAAGAGCCAGAAGTTAGTTTGTGGAAAATTCCCCCAATTATCAGCCATGAAAATTATTAGCAGAGAATTAGGATAGCCTTGACACCTAGTAAAATCTAAAATTCTCGCCTGTCAGGAACATACATAAAATGTAAAGGTTTATAATGATAAAAATACCATACTTAAAAAAAAAAAGTTACTTTATTTAGACAGGCAACGGTTTAAAGCGGGGGGCGGGGGGGGACTGCAAAGGAAGATCTCTGCAGCATACTTTTTTTTCTTTCTAGATGGAAATGGCATATTTTATAAAGCTAGAATTTAACATTTTAACTGCAATTTGGAAATGATTGAGAACGTTTCAATAAAACAACTGAAAATTTATAATTGTCTGATCTGGGTGAATATGAAGGTTATGTTCTTTTGCCTTCTTTAAGTTTATTTAATAAAATACTGAGGAAAGTGAGATAAAAATAAATGAAAATCATGCAAGGTAATAAAGTCGAGCAATGAAATCAATATTAATTGGTGGCTAATTTTAAGCTTTCATCAGATCATAGCAAAAGCAGTAGTTCATTCAGAAGAGATACAAGTGAGATATGTTTCTACTGTAATGAAAATGATTATCACTGAAAGAAACTGTTAGACTGATAGTGATTAGGAGAGTAATAATGTGGGTGGAAAAGACACTGGACACTTGGAAAAGACACTGACCTCGGGCTCAGTAGACGTGAGTTCTAGCCCCAGCTCACCCTTAACCAGTGGTGACCCTGGGCTATTTGTGGTTCCTGACTGCTAAAAAAAAGCCTTGCAGTTGGGCCAAGAGTCAATTCTCTGACTGAATCTCAAGGTCTCTCTCATTCTATCAATTCTGATATTCACTATGAGGAATAAATTACCATCTTACATCTAGATGGCAATTTCTCAATGTTGAGTAGTTCTTCAAATATAAAGAGCATGCATTATTCTGAATTCATCTTATATGGAACAGAGATCTTGCCCTTCAGAAATTTTTTCCTCCCCAGTCCTATACCCACACCACCTCACCTCTGAAAACACTTTCTAATGCCTCATTACAGCATTGCCAAGGGCATCCATGTGTGCTCTGTCTACTGAACTCTGCCTCGGTAATGTAAAGTGTTCAAGCTGGGCTAACAAGTTGGAAATTCAGTATTCATTTCCCAGACTGTGGTGACCGTGGTTAAGCATTAGAGAAATATTATTTCTTATTTATGCATTCTGAGACACCAATTAAGAAGGACCTCTTGGATGTGTTCCACCCTAGAAGGTACTGAGGCCAAAGCCTTTTACACATTTTATCCATGACTTAGATGATGAAATAAGAATCCTGTTTATTCATATTAAGGGTGAAATCTTGGAAGGAGGTGCTGCTTATCCTTTGGAATAATTGCATAAAAGTCAAGAAAACCTAAGTAATTTGGAAAAGTATCAGGAAAAGTTTGAGTAATCTCAAGAGACATATATTGGATGGTACAATTTTAAAGTAAATTAAATTTTTTGGATGTCGTATAAAAGGTTATTGTGTATGATGTGAAACGTTGGGATCCAGGAGCGAATGGTCGAGAAAGAATTCTTGAGACATCTTCAGTGCAAAGAAGGGTGGTTTATTAAAGCTTGGGGGCAGGACCCACGGGCAGAAAAGGCTGCACTTGAGTTGTGAGGAGTGAGTGATTATATACTTTCAAGTTGGGAGTTAGGGATAGTGTAAGTCTCTAAGGAATTTGGAAGCAAGGTTTCCAGGAGGGACTAGCTGCTGTTAGGCAAAGATCATTTACTATTGTCTGGTAAAACCTTAGTCATAAGACCCTTCAGATGTAGATCAGTGGGCCATATGCTTGGAGGATGATTGCTAACATATATCCTGGGGGTAGGTAGAGATAAAGGAAGTTTCCAAAGGGATTTTTATAGGTTCAAGGAGGCTTACAGCATCCTGGAGGTCAAAGCTATTGTCAAGCTAAGGTGGCCTTTTGCCTCTAGCAGAGTATTAACATCAGGCAGTTGAGTTCCTGGAACAAGGTTATTCTGCTGGTCCCAAGTACTTGTCAATGGGCTGTAAGTTATGAAGGAGTTTATAATTTTTTAAATATTTCTTTTGCCTTTGTTCTCCACATCAGTGTAGAGTTGTGAATAAATTTTAAGGGTCTAGTTGTCAGACTGGGGCTGCAAATTGAAAAAAAGACAACAATATTTCACCCTAGCTTTTTTGTTCCCCCAAAGTCATTGTGATTCTGGCTGAATGTGTACATATACAAAGGAAAAGTTTTAAATTCAACCACAATTTTATCCTTGAAATTAATAAAATGAATATAAAACAGTAAAAAGCAATAGTATTGCCTGTAGGAATTATTCTTTCAAACTTCTCTACATGTTGGATATCACTGTCTCCATGGTATGTATTTGGTTATTGGATGCACAATGAAGAGAAAAAATATAACTTGGAGATGGTGCGGAGGAAAGCAGTGACACTGGTCAAATAATTAGAATTAGGAGACAATAGAAAGAAATCCTATTAGGAATTAAAAGTGTTCCAAGTGCAAAACACAATACTTGAAGAATAACATAGTAAGGATTTTGATGTGTGTACAATATATCTGAGATTCTTTTTGTTGAAAATGGATAGGGAAAAAAAAATCATCTTAAAAATGGAGTTTGGACCTAAGGAAGATATTTGTAACTGCTCACTTATACTCGACTAGTGCAGGGGTCAGTCATACAAAGTAGAGAGTCTACCTGCCCTGGTCTAAAAATAGCAGCCCTGCTTCTCCTCCGGACCAAAGCTGCCTTAGGCTCTTCTACCTCCCAGTGTCTCCTTTTAAATGCAAATGATTTGGGAGGGGTTGCCCTTAATTCACTAATTTTATCTAGCCATTAACACCTTAGCAACTGGAAACCCAACTAAAAGAGAAAGAGGAATTGGCTGAGGGTTTTGGTGGATGTGCAACCTTCCTGAAGAGGGAGAAGTGAAGGAAAGGAAAGGCTGTTCCTCATAAAGGAGGGATGTAACCAAACTGTGCCTCCTATCAGTCCATTTTCGGTGTGCATGTCAATGGTCACACCCTCTGACCTGGCATAACTCTTGAATTTGGTATGAAATGATGACAGATTTAAAGAACTCTCTTTAAATTTGTCACAGACACAGATTCCAAACTCCACGAGGCAAGGTGCTTTTATCTGTGGTGCTCCAGGGTTGGTAGGAAGGGAGAAAAGTAAATGGCTTGAAAATAGTGAGACCTCTTTAACTAAAATTAGTTTCTGGCAAGGGCTCTCAGCCACATTGGCCTACATTTTCCAGAACTATTGTTCTTATGCTTTTGCCCAAGTGTGTTTGAGTAGTTTCCAAAGTCAGGAGCTGGCCATAAAGGGGAATCAGAAACACTTTGAGTAAACGAAGAAGAAAATGAAATCCACATGACTAAAATTCTACTGCAGAAACGTCATTAATTGCTACTTCTGAAATGTGGGACTCCTCTGTAAGTCTGTGTGGAAAACTTAATTTTGTGTCCTTGACATACACTATTAAAAACTGCCTTCTAGCCAAGAAGAAAGAGCTGGCTTACACCCATGTAAATGGTGCTATCATTACTCAAGGGAGATGTGGAACACTTTGCTCTAGACGTATGATGCTTTTCTTGTTTGACAACCATTACTATTCTATTTCCATTCTCCAAAGTGGTTATGCACTGTAAACTCTTTAGTGTTAAGCAACTAAACTATGTCCAATTGAAAAAATAGAAAATGGACAGGCACGGCTCTTATGGCCATATGATACACATATTCATCAAAATCTTTTGAAAGATTCATCAACAAATGTAGAATACAAGTTACTACTGTCCTGGGACGGCTGGCTGCATATTACATGCTGTCCATTCGAGTGAAAAATTACTGAAGCACACACTCGAGCCGTATAAGTATCAGATCGTCATCACTCTGAAGAGCCACATTTACACAAACCACACACATAGTCACTCTGACTGAGAAGACAAGGAGATGATACTATAGCAAAACATATTTTTAAAAACTTGCTTTGACCAAAACAAAGGTTAGTAGCTGTATCTTTATTGCTTGGCATTCCAGTTGGCCTTTACAAAATGGCAGTCTTTTCTCACTCTTTCTACAAAGTATTTATGAAAATTCCATTGCAATATTTGTCATGACTTCTAAGCTAGCCCTTCCAAGAACATTTTAGTTTTTGTATTTGCCTTTACTTTTAAACCTGTAAAACCTTGTCTTTTTTTTAAATGTTTATTTTT